ATCTCGCTCTTCCTTTTTCTCTTTCATTTGATGAACATAAAATGCAATCGACGCGCAATAACAACAGAGTAATAATGACAAAGAAAGATTGATAGAAATAGATAAAAGAAAAATAAAAGATGGCAGAAAACTATCGAGTAAGAACAATACTTGTCGGAAAAAGCATATTCAACATACGAAGATGAAAAATGTAGTTAATATAATACAAGCTAACCCAGTCTTATCGATGAATAAACAATGGAAAAGATCCATTTCTGTCTTTGTTCTTTTTTTTTTTTGTTGTTATGTCGGAATGCAGACATACAATATCTATAGAAGAAGAAAAAAATAAAATAGACGAAAGAGACAAAAAAAAGAAGGAAGCTTCAGTCAAACATATTTTCTAAATTAAAATGAATCATCAACTATTGTTTATTTATCATATATCAAGTAGCGATGGATCATAACATCCGTTATTAAGTGTTATGTTATAGTGTCTTTTATAGTCAGTCCAATACAAAATTTGCCACAGTTAGACTATTGTATACGCACGAGTATGGAATGTTGATAGAAGTGATCACTTCTCGCGTTCATAACGATACTGTTGTCATGCGGGAATCGCCTACACTCGTTCTCGTTTTTATTCACACCATGTTCTATTTTTCTATGACTATCAAAGACAAAAAAAAAAAAAAGAAGACGAAGAATAATAATATGAAAACAAAAACACACCTATTCATAGTACATCAGTAGTTTTTATAAACAATCATATAAAATAGAAAATCTCTCTAGAATATATTCAAATATGTAATCAATCTAGTTGGTTCTACGATATATTACTACAAACAAAAATTGTACATAAGTAACTATACAATTATTAGTAATTTTCTTATCATACTTGATATTTGACTAAATAATTAAAAGTAAATCCTAAATTGAATAACACTCGATAGGTTTGTTTTTTTTTTGATCTCACATGTTTTTCGTAAAATATAAAGCAACTACTTGAATAGTCTATGTAAAAATGATAGATTTATTGTTGATAATCGAAAATGAAAGATTAATATAAATAAAACATATAAATCAAGTAACAACAATCAACAAAACAATATTGTTACTGTTTGTAATCAGAATACTAATGACCGTCGAAAACATTGAGGGATTAAGTAATATACTACAAAAATAAATCTAGATTAATTACTATTGACCTATTTTATCTTGTAAAGTAGAAAATATCAAAAATATTTTTCCTTAATGATGATATATTTACATGCATAAGAACTTCTTGATCCATTTATTCGATGGCTTTCTATTCTTCTGAATATAATAGCAATAACTATATCAATCTCGATGCATGTTAGAAGAAGAAGAAAAAAAATGAATCAGTTGACTCTGCAACTTTCTTAATTCAGTTTTAACATGCAATGTGATCATCATTGTTGTTCGTCAAGTATAACTTGATGAACAAATGACACTTATTAATAATAATATTTAATTAAAATCTAGATGAATATGTTGATTGTATATGAATAACATTTAATAATTTCGAAGAATTTTCTATTTATATCATTGTTAAATGAAAATACATATAACACTTATTTGTATTTATACAATCGATATTCTTTATAACTTATCTATGTTCATTTCTATACGAAAATAAACTTCTATGGTTATTATAGAAAAAAACAACAACAAGAGTAACTGTTGACAAAAAAAAAAAAATAAGGTTTTCATAGAGAGAATATTTTTCAAGATGATCAATCTACTTATAAAGTATTATATGAATCAAATACATACAATTAGTGATCATCTGTTACTAACAGATTGCATGATCTTTTCATAAATTTATTAGCTAATATATTAATTGTCAAATTAAGTATTTAAAATGAAAAATTACGAAATAAATATATTATACATTTGAATAAAACATCGGAATATTGTTTTTTTTTTCTTTGAATATTTTGAATATATACAATAGTTGTTAGTCAGCAAGTTTATACTCTATGACATTATTCAAACGTGTTTTTTGTCTTAAATTTATTACTACTTCCGTTCCGTTTATTATATGGTACTTTTATAAGTTCTATGGTCTTATCAGATAATTTACAACTGTTAATTAAACCGCTTCAATATTTCCGTTGTACTGCAAAGAGATTACACTCATTCTCTGTCTATCGTTTTTTTAACTATAAAAAACATAGACTGTCAACAGTGCAGACATGAACGCGTATATTTCGCATAGAAAGTAGCATGTATAAGTATGTGAATAGTAGATGACAATAATTACAGTATTTAAGTTGTCTAATAACAAGATATGAATGTGGGATTTTTAGTGATTTTGAATAAAAGCTAATAAAAGATAAGTCTGATATTGACGAGAACGTGTTTTTTTTCACATTCATTTGAAATAAGTAGAAATGTATGTTTTGCATCGATATGAAACAAAAGTACAAAGAATAATTGTCTTTCATAAAGAACATATTTTATTATAAGATAAGTCTCAAACAGACAAATGAATATGTTTAAAATAAATGTTCATAGATTATATTATTGAAAAGAAACATAGATGAATATATCAAATAAACTGTGAAGAGTTGACTAGGAATGTTTCTAATCTCCTGTCATCTCTTAATTTTATTGTCATAGTCACGAAAAGATTCTATTTGTTGAAATGTTTGTTTTCTAATAAACTGAACGATTACATACATAATCTAAATAATATGTTCAAAAAATTTAATTGTTAAATTCAATTCATTATAAATTATACTATATGTTTATGTTAATTGACATTGCCTGACTATAATTAGAAAAGTCTAAGATAAAAAAAAAAAAACAATTATACTATTTACATAATAATATATTTCTTATTTTTAATTCTTCATCATCCGATATAGAATTATTTTCATTTAAGTTAAAATTTGTTCAAAAATATTTTTTCTTCTTATCAAAAGAATTTTGTTTCAAATTTTTTAATTAATCAAAAAGATAGAAAAAAAAAAACATACGTGACTTTGCTAGAAACTAAGAAATTTATATGCACGAACTATCAATACTGAGATATACAAAAATTACTCTACTATATTCATTTACGTAGATATGAGTAGTCATGTTTAATTATTATACAAGAGAAAAGAAATATCTTTTTATGTTAAAGAAATTCCGTATATACAATAAAAGTCATGATTATGATAGAAATAAAAATAGAAAGACAGACAATAAATATACATACGCGATAACTATTGTTAGAGAAAATAAGAAATTTATTTTAGTAAGATAGACTATTTCACTAGTAAATTGCGTATAAAAATATTGAGAATTCATTATTGTCAAATAGCTATTGTGCATGCTATGCTAACAACTATTTGAGAAACTTGAACAAAATGACTAAATCATTGGAGACGACATTGTGTGACTGAGATAAAAAAAATTAATTTTCAGCAGAGAATATACTATAACGAAATTTATTCTAGGATATATTTAGGACTCATATTTTTAGTATGTCAGTCTTTGCATGCGAACATATTTTCTGACTTAGAAAATTGACTTGAGTACTTATAAACAAAAGGGAATTTTTAGCTGAAACAACATATTTACTGAAATAGAACAAATCTTGTTTTTATAAATCTACTTGATCTTTTTAGAATGTTCTTTCATATACAATTCATTCAACTTACATTGTAGAATTTGTCAAACATTTCTCGATTCAATTTGTTCATCCATCTAATCATTTTTTTTTTTTCTAATAATAAAAATGTTTTTATTTTCATTGAGGAAAATTAACCCAATAATTAAGTTCAAAATTTTGTAACTTCTACGAAAATATGAAACTTTTTGAATGTTATTAAACATTTTTGCTTACTTGATGAAATGAGTTCAATTGTTTGTAGTTCTTTTCGTATTAATCAGTATCTTTTATTGAAATATCGTTTCAGTTTTAAAAATACTGTATATGTGAAACGAAATAACCTTCTTTAAAATGTACGCATAATAGTTAATATACAGTTGTTTGCAAAAAAACACTTGCACTCTTTGCTTTGCGGAAGTTTCTTTCTCTATATAGCTACTTGAACTGTTTCATCTCTGAAATGAGAGGCCACTAAGAGTATAATATTGTATCATAATTGAAAATCTTATCTATTTATTCTTAGAAGAAATAATAGAATAATATTACTTTTTTTTTTATAGACAATAGACAATTTATTACAATACTAATATCAGTATTTTAAAATTCTTTCATTAAAAAAATCATTCGAGGTCTTTGATATTTTTTTTTTCTTTGATTTTCTACTTTTCAATTTTATGTTTTATAGTTAGTCAAATATTTTCTACCTGACTAGATACAAACTATTAACTGATCGCTTCATTACTTGCGGTTATAATTTTGTTGCAAACATTAATTTTTTGAGAAATTTCATTACAAAAAAAGAAGTAATAAATAGTTAAAGAATATAACGTTTCGTAAGATTTTGGATGTTTTTCTACTTATTTCTTTTAATATTATGTTATGATTACGACGAATAACTCTTTTTGTTGTTGACCTTGAGGGCGTATCGTCGACCATTTCTTCTACAATACTTAACCAAATTTATTTATATTAATTTGTTGATGTTATGAATAGAGTGTCCTTGTAGAAGTCTTTATTCCACCCTTCACAAAGTTAGCTGATCTAACGACTTTTGTATCACATAATAGTTTTTCTAAATGACAATCAACTGATATTTTTCAATTACTATACATCCAAAACAAAAACAATCGTATTGTCATCAGGTCATTTCTTTGTCTAACTGTTGAAGATATATCACCACAAAACAAAAATGTCTACTTTTGTGCAAGTTCTTTTTCTTTGTAAACAACTATATTATTGATTTTGTCACATGAGAAAACACTTGTCAAATAATCAGTTTTGACATGCCCAATTGTATTAATTTTACCGTCCATTTTTTATTTTTGTACAAAAAGAACGAAAAAAAAATAATCAATGAAGAGCCATATCAGACTGAAAAATGAGTCCAACAATTGCATCATTCATGTTGAACAAATGGATTTGGAATTTCTTCCATACCATCTAATGGACATATGAGTACCACTGATGTACCTCGACATATAACAAGTCCTAATTGTCGAGTATCTTCACTAATTTTATATTCATCATCAGGATCACGTAAATATTCAATTGTTTGATCGAGTACCAAATTTAATAATTGATCATAACCTAAATTAATAAAATATGAATAATTTAACTTATCTATTTAATTCTACCTTTTAAAACTCCACTACATTCACGACCACCATTAAATTTCACTCGAATACGTTTATCTAAATATTTATTTAAATCAACAATATTTTCTTTTCTACGACCAATACTATCAGCCATCTGAAGAATGAAAAATCAAAACAAAGAATCATAATTTAAAAATTAATATCAAACATGATGATAGACTTATTGATGTTTTGTTTTTATTCGGATAATTTTTCTTTCTTTCTTTTTTGTTTTTCTTCTTCACGCTTTATATTTGCGTGATCAAAAAAAAAAAAGTCAACATGAGTAGCAACAAAAAAAAAACACACATTTTTTAAGCCACAAATTGATAAGGGATTGGTTCGACAATTTGTGGTTTGTTGCCTTGAGTTCTTACCAAACGTTGTTTACGTGGGCCTTGCGGCTAGAAGAAATTAATTCACATGAGATTAGTCAAAAAATATATAGATCTATAAATATTACCTGTCGTTTAATACTAGCAAGTGGTACACTCTTGCCTGTTTCTTTGGCTGTTCGTTTCAATTGTTCACTGAGTTTGACACGATTGAGAAAATCAGCACGACATTTTGAGTGTTTGACTATAGAATGAATTGAATATATTTTTCAAATAAACAAAAATATTATTACATACTATGTTCAACACGAACATTGATTCGTTTAGCAATAACACGATGACTGAAATTGGTATAGATAAAATATTTTTCAAATTATAAATAAAAAACAAAAACATACCGAACACGTTTGTTGACAATGATACCAACAGCATGTCGAGTTACATTAAAAACACGACCTGTTTTTCCATGATAAAATCGATGTGGCATACCTTTTTGTACAGCACCATTTCCCTAGAGAAAAACATAAATCTATAATATTAATTTTAAAATTTAAAACAATATATAAATATACTTTAATATCGACAATATCACCACGTTTATAAATTTTCATATAGGTAGCCAAAGGAATACGACCATTTTTCTTGAAATCTCTTGCAAATAAATGACGGGTACCTCGACGATAACCTTTTGGATTTGTCATTGTATTAACGGTACTGACGAGATAATGATATTAATCTTAAAAGAAAAAATTATAATAAACTCAAATTAAGTATTAGAACAATTAATATTGTAAGAAAATAAGATGAAAGAGATCCATACAATCCATTATTAAGCAAAAAAGAAAAAATAATCAACGGATCGAAAGAACCTCCATCCTACATTTACAAATTTTTGTCTTCTGCGATAGGTCAAATGTTTATGCCAATACGAAAAACGAGAAATGCATCATTGCAACTTACGACATCTACAGTATTTTGCATTATAGTTTTCGAAAAATAGATAGGTTATTAATCGTATTTCTTCTTTTATTTTTTTTTTTGAAAACACGAAAGTCACATTTTGATTTAATGTGATCTCTAAACTATTTGATTTTGCCGTTTTGCTCCTTACCTACGGTGTTCTAGTACAGATTGCATTTTAAAAATAAAAGATCTTCTGAAAACTATGGTCTAATTTAACAAAATGGATATCGGAGATCGTAATAGGAATGCTAAAAGAGTTGTTTGAGTGATGCTCGGACTGGCTCAACTAAAGAATATCGTTGATAGTGCCATTCTTTTCAATCATAAAAAACTTTTGTTTTTTCACAATGAAGTCGAAGATATTTTCTTTCATTCTGTGGATCTATCTCTGCATTCACCCTGATCTTTCAGAACTACTCCTCCTTATTTGATATTAATTATTATTCTGACATTGCTAAATTTTTTTATAATAAAGAAAATATTTCTGGTCCTTACACTGGCATCGCATCATCCGAACCTTCAATAATTAACTGATGAATGAGATTTATATAGACTAAAATTCTACATTATATCTTTCTTGTAACAAAATATTATAACTGTTACATTCTGATTCTAGTTCGTATCTGTTTTTCTCTTTGAAGATCAGGTACACGACTGTTTGCTTAAATTTTTGCTTTGATATCCTTCTCCTCCTCCTCTGACTTAAATGTGGAGAGAAACTAACAGTAATTATCGTTCCAATATAAAACATTCATCGTTCAATTCGCAGCAAAATAATCCATATATATCATTGCTATATCAAATAATAACCAACGAACGACAGATAGAAATATTAATACAGCAACAATATAAAGTTTAGAAGGAAAGGTAACGTACATTCGTCAAAATGCCAATGTGATACTAAGTACTCATCAGCATATAGCTTACTTGCCCTTCATATCTTCAACATTTTATTGTTCTGTTTGAATCAATCATATCTCAAAGACCTAAATGAAACTTCGATTCTAGTGACAAATGGCAGCACATATATATATATATATTGCGACAACAACATGTATTATCGAATGGAAAACAAAAAACTACTGATCAAATAAACTTATCGATGAATTCTAACTCTGCAGCTCTATCGAATGATAATACACAATAGAATCAATCTCAGCAGCACGTATTAGAACATCAGCAACGTCTTTTTCCATTTGCATAATTGAAACGTACTGTTTCAAACATTTTTCTATGCTTCTTAATTAAATCTGATCAAGTTTTGCGTCAGCGAAATCGACCATTCAATGTACCAGTATTTAGTATCATTGAAGATTATTGCAAATAATAATAAATCTCGTGCACATACTCATACATCCATCATAGAGACAATAAATTAAAATTAGGTGTACATAAGCAAGAGTCCTATGCAATATCAATATCTACTAATAAATAGCTATTCGAAATCATTAATTTTAATATCTCCACCACTGCTGAAATCTGCCTTAATAATCTTACAAAAGATCACACATATTACTATTCGAACTCGGTGCTTTGTGCTCAGTACGATGAACCTCACCATTCTCCATCTGTGGAATGCAAAAAAGTGATTGCATGCGGATTCACTTCAAAGGAATAAGTTAATAAGGCAATATCGGCAGGAAAACTACATCAATTAATACCTCAAGGTTGTGATTATTGATCCAAACTTCAAATAAAGCCAAACAAATCTCCGTCACTACCATTGTTAACCCTTTCAGGACAGGAATACGCTTCCGAAAAAAATTAGGAATGAAAATTTCAATGCAAGATATAAAAGAGAGAAAATGATTCATGATCAAGTAAGTAACATTAGATGTATATTAGTACAATTAGTATACTTTATTGTATACACGATTATTTCCGATGAACAATGCATGATATATCTCGGTGTTCGAAAATTCTCAGGTATTACTATAGTGGCCAACTGTCTTGAAAGCGCTAATGTCTCACGTCGCTGCATGAAAACTGCTCCATTACGGCCACTGGAAAAAAATAATATGCATCGATGAAAACAAGACGGTCAGACTAAGTCCTTCTTGAGTACTCGATATTGCAAGAAGAAAACATTTGTTTGCGCTGAAATTTTAAGAACATTTTAATAGCCTTGTGATCTATGTATGAACTCGATTTCACTTCAACAGCTCGTAAGGTAATCTTTTATAAACAACATATTCAGACAATAAAAAATGGTAATCATACGAAATTAACTTATATTTTAGTAAATTTATCTATACTCCATTTAAAGTTTATAGTCTGTTCAACATATGATATCATAAGATGTCGGCAAATCGTCACAAAAATTTCAGTAATATTTGGTCATTTTAATGTACCAATAGAGGTATTGGTCAAAATCTTGGCACGATAAATATGATCGAATATGAACGGACAGAAAATTACACTTTTGGTTAGTTTCAAAAATGATAGAGAAACAGTATATGCAAATATCAAAGAGACTTTTTTCCAGGAAATGAAAAATATTAAATACACATTAAATTTAAAATCTAATTGAAATTTCACAAGTACTGTGAGACATGTCTTAAAGTATTCACAACTAGAATCATTGAGATTTATTCATTTCTTCGCTATAACAAGATTAATCTATCATGAATATTAAAAATCAAGTCAACCATCAAAAGAATATAGTGTTATTGTTAATATTCCAGCATCTTAAAGAATGTTTAATGCATCATGAGCTTATTTTGCTTAGGTCTACATGATTATACAAAATTTGATACAATTCTACGGTCGTAAATGACAAACATTTCTTTCATTCAGTAATCAAAATAAATATGTTCGATTTGTTATTGATTATTATAAAATTTGTTATAATAACGAAGGAAAACATGATGATACTATGAAACGTTTTGTTCTAGAAAATGACACAAGTAGAACGTATGAAAATTTAGCAGAACTTTTAACTGCATCATATCTAAGAGTTTTGACAATGGCTGATCAAGATGATTTTACAAAATTAGATTCAATTTTACGACAAGAAGTCAATGTATTAGTGATATTGTTAGCATCAGATTCATATACATCGACAGAACTAATTGACATTACTCTATTAAATCCGATTATTTGCTGTTAAACGTTCATTTTATTTTGACTCTTATTGACATAAGCTGATTATAAGTATAAGTATTATTGGATCACATTTTCTTTGACGTGATCTGACATACGTACTCTTTTTTTAATAAAACAATTGAATAGATAGTATTATTCTTGGTTTTCTTTTGCATGCAAACAAATTTGATGTTAACTTTACATGTTAAGAATTGTACTTTTTAAATTCTTAAGAAAAGATGGTCAATATGTATTATTTAGCTTTTATTTCATTGTTAGTCATTTGGTACGAATGTCTTTGATGATAGTTGAATGGCATAAAGGATTATAAAACAAGGTATAGAACTGTTCGTTTTATTGAAATTCAATATATTTTATCCTCATTTCCGCTTCTTTCTTTCTGTAATTAGACCAAAGAGACAAGTCATGTGTATTTGCATGATTATTTTAAAAATTAATAAAATTACGCTATTTATGCTTGTAAGCAAAGTTATTTATCACGTCATTAAAATGCATTGAAAGCTAAAATAACTCAGGCGAATTATTTGATAAAACATATACTTATGAATATATGTGTGTCTATTTCCACCCACTGTTGTGTTTTAATAAACCAAAATAGAACTATTACGCACATTGTATGATATGCGTCATTATCGGAGGACAATATAGAACACTGATTAGCAGGTGGATGATTATTTTCTAGAAGATCTTTTGGTAATTGCACTTAGAGTTAGCGATATATGAATACGCATACTGTTTCAGAATATAGAGAACATTCATTCTTATCGTAGAAATATGATTACGCTCTTGATTATAGACGTAAGATATTATACATTTGAATTATGTCTTAAAGAGAAATTATTACCCACCTTTGAATTTCTATATTTGTTCTCAAGAACAATCAATGGTTCTTTTTGTAAATATCTTTCAAAAACATGAGCAAGATGCAAGGCACCTTTCTCCTGAATATATTGAATATACGATAACAGTTCTTTTTTATTTTCTTATCTGTTTATTAAATTGAGATGCATTATTTTCATACATTGAACCCTATCTTTAGCTAAAAGTAAATTAATAAATATTTTCTTTACACAATTACACTTTTATTCACAAGTTTCGGTAGTAAAACTCCAAATTCGTTGAAAAAACTTCTGCTGTCTGCGATAGTTGTCAAATAGAAATATAGGAATTATTCTCTTATTATCAGTTATCTTACTACCTTGATAAATACATTACTTTGACAAAGATTGCAACATCTGATGAATAAGTTTATGTCTTAAATGTTTCATGACACTCTTTCTCTTTTCTGTAATATATTGATGTCTCTCAGATGAAATTAATTCTCTTTCTATGGAATAGAACATTTTTTACAAAAAAAAATATCAGAAGAATTAGAACTCGAAAAAGCCTTTAGGTCGACTTGCTAAATGTTTGTTTTTTGTTAAGACTATAAACATATTCATTGCAAATGTCAAACATTACCAATTCCAATATTACTGATCAGGAGGCATATTGGTACGGAATTATTACTCTCCTCAATCAAGATATCTCAAGATATGGTATGGGTCTTATTTGGTTTGTCGGAAATTTTGGATCAGCTATCAATTGTTTTATCTTTTATCAACCAAATCTTCGTAAGAATCCATGTGTTATGTATTTACTAGCATCGAGTGCTTCTCAATTTTTAACATTCAATTTTGCTCTTCTTACAAGAATGCTCCACTTTGGTTATAATATTCAATCACTTAATACTCTTCTTTGGTATTGTAAAATACGCTTTTATTTTTTCTATACTCTTGTTGCTATTCCACGTTATTATATAATTTTTGCATCGGTCGATCGTTATTTTGCTAGTTCTCCTGATATTTATTGGCGTCAATGGAGTTCATCAAAGATTGCTATGCGATTAATCATTGGTAGTTGTTTATTTTGGTGTTTAATTTACATTCAAGTTATCATTTTCTATCAAATTCAAAATGATAATTGTTCATATAGAAATGGTGTTTATGGTATTATCTTTAGTGTCTATATATTGATTGAAAGTGGGATACTTCCACCATTAGTAATGCTGATTTTCGGATTGCTTACACTAAATAATATTCGAAAAAGCAAACGAACAACAAGACCATTAATAGTAGGTGATGTTGTTCGATCTGGACAATTTGCTGGAATGTCAAGAAAAGATTTACAATTTTCTAAAATGTTATTTAATCAAATATGTCTTTGGATTATTTTAAATATTCCCAATCCTTGTTATCTTCTTTATCGAACAATAACAATGCACGATAGGAAATCATCTCTTAGTGCAACAGTTGAATCATTTATTAGCAATATGAGTTATCTTCTTATTTATCTTGAATTTTCATTAACATTTTTTGTCTATACTTTATCGTCATCATTATTCAGACGTGAGTTTAAGCAAGTAATTCGACGGAAATTTTTACGACGTTTTCCATAAAATATAAATCTCAGAAATAACACATAGTTCAAGTTATTATTTAAATAACTTTAACGATCTTCTAGAGACATAATTAATCTAAGTGTTAAATATAATTCATCATGTTGTCATTTTTTGTTTGTGTATCAACATATTATTTCTCTATCATTTGTCTATCTATGATTGTAAAATAAAAATTATTTGAATAAACTAAATTCAAACCAGCTAGATTCATAAGATTTTATCAAAGAAATGACTATTCTTTGATTCTTTAACAGGAAAAATTCTAATATAGTTTGTGATTTCAATTATTTAGATTTACATCCAACCAATCTGATCATCAATCGTTAAAATCATGCTGTAGTTTCATACACGAAGAACTGACTCTTTTATCTGTTGTGTAACTATGTTTAATACTTTATGTTGATAAGTATGCTATAAATAGTTATTATATGAATAGTAACAGTGTCTATCATGTATAAATTATTTCACAATAATAATTATCAGAAATGAACAACTTATTCTGTAAGTATTTGAATGTTACATATAAGGACTATTTCATTTGAGTTTTGTTATAATTAATGAAATTTATCTTCTATCTATTGAGTTAATTATTTATTAGATATTAGAACAACTCCATTATATACATAATAGTAATGTAATCATATCGATTTTGATTGCTCTATTTTCCTTTATTTTTATTTGTCTTGTTCATAGACTTGCTTGAAATGGATCTAGCAGTAAGTCAAAATCGAATGACTACTATATACAGATCGTTTTTTAATGGAAATGGCTATGTACATTTGAGTGCACATAGTCGACCAGCTGTGTACACTCGAGTACACATAGCTATTTGGTTATGTGCACTCAGGTAAGTATAATCAATTAACCCTTTCGCGGTGATTCGATTTGTATAGAAGATAATGAGTGACTCAGAATAAATGACTGTATTTTGCATCTCATATTTTAATCTCTAAATATGTTTTATTAGAAAACAAAATATAACATAAGGTACAGTGTGAAAAGCTCTACAATCTACATAGTAAAACTTATGCTTTTTGTTTTCAAAAAAAGCAAAATTCTGTGCGATCAAGTTTCGCAACTTCAAAAATTGGTCACACACAGTTTTGCTTTTTATTGAAAACAAAAAGTACACAAATGAAATAAACTTTACTATGTAGATTGTAGAGCATTTCACGCTGTATCTTGTGGTATCTTTTGTCTTTTCTTACGAAATCATAGTAGGTGGTAAAAAGATGAAATAAGAAAAATGAAATTTCTTATTCGTATAGAAAAAAAATGATCGTTTCGCAACTTCGAAAACTGATCACATTGAGTTTTGTTTTTTTTGAAAACAAAAATTAGACAATGGAAATAAGCTTGGTTATGGAGATTGTAGAGCTTTTCACGCTGCATTTTATGATATATGCTGGTTTTTAAATAAAACGTGTTTAGATGTTAAAATACGAAATGCAAAGTGCGACCATTTATTCTGGGTCACCCGTTGGCTTTAAAATATAGTGTGACTCACCAGTGGGCCACATCTCCGTGAAAGGATTAATTAATAAATATTAAACCTTTGACTGTCGCCGACACAGATATGCGTCCGGAGCCTCATCTTTGCATGAACTAAAGTAATCATTCATAACGTATGTTTTTTTAGGGTTATTTACGTAAACACAAACGTTCGCCACTTAGCACTTCCCAAACCACCATTTTATCAAGGCACACTACAGAGTTGTTCCATAAAACACGAATAAATTTTCCACAAAATCATTTCTTTCTTCTCTTATATCGACCGCCAAAGGGCTAAGTTGTATTGTAGTTTTATATGTACTTTATCGTTAATATAAGTAAAATATTTCAACTTATTAGTAATTTTACTTTATTATTTCTTTATTCTGTTCAAATAAACAATTCTTGTAAATTATCTCTTGTATCAGGTGAATATGAGTAACATTTTTATTCTTCATAAAAATAATTTTATTGAGTTCTGTATCATGTTTTATTTTAGAATAGAACTGACAGTTCATCCGAGCAGATTCTTGATTTGGTCTTCATCTATCCTTTATATTTCTTCTAAGAGGACCACTATGATGACAAACATGCTTTAGATTTGCGTATCGAAAACGATCAAACAATTCTTTTATTATTTTTTCCTATATTTCATTGAATGACGTTTAATATTTACTAGTTGATAGTAATTGTTACGTCAATCTTTAAAAGTTGTTCCAAAATCTTCCCAACTGTTGAATTGCTTCATAAAGAGAAAAGGGAAAAAAATATTTTTGATCATCATTTTTTTCGAATTGGTGACTCTTTATTTTTTCTCATCGAATACTTCTACATAGCTCATAACTTTTCATTCACATTCAGCGCTATCCCAAGAAATCAAAAAGATTAATACATCATCAAAGCAATTAATGTATGAAGTAGTTAATTGATTTATGATCAAAGTCGTTAGTTATAGGATGACGTGTGTCTATGCAAAAAGTGCATATATTTTCATTTTTTTAAACTACCGTCTTCAAAATTAGACTTAATTCTCTTAGTCATAGTCGATTTACTTGATGCTGTAACAGCTATTGGATGTGAATGTGGGTGAGGGTGCGGTTGGTGCTATGTATATTATCTTGTGTAACTATGGATGAGAAGATCAGGTACACACACGCAGCTTTTTTTGAGAATAATAATACGGACTGAATGCTGAAGAATTTTGGTGATCAAAAATATTTTCATCCAAGAAAAAATCTTTATCTTGTTCCATTTTTATAGTTGAAGAGTTATGTTCAAGTATTTATTTGCGTTAAGCGTTAAATCAAGCATCAACACTACAAGACTAGTATGAGAGTATCCTTGAGCGAATAAACTACTTAGATCCCAGTATAAAAATGTAATGGATTAGTTGTCATAGACGTTTAGGATGAGTGTAATAGATTTTTTAATGATATAATAATATCTATTTATTACTATAAATAAGATAACATCAAATGTGTCCCTGTAATTTTCAAGTGTTAATGAACAGGAATAGAGGAAAAATTGAAGTGAAAATTAATTAATGTATCTCAATAAAGAGTAGCATCACAAACTGAAACATAATTGGCTTTTTATATTTTTCAATTTCTCATCTTGTAAGTCAATTAATCAGAAACTAAAATATAAAACCTCCCCTGCTATGATATAAGTAATCAACATAAAAAATGCAATTAATAGAGAAGAAAAGAGCTGGCATAACATTATTTTCATTAAATATATTGAAAATAATAGAATGCAACCTTTTCCTTCGAAGCCTAAGAGAGGAAGCGCTAGAAATATTTCTCAAATTATTGATGCTTCTTTAAACTAACTTTTTTTCTATATTTGTTTGCTTCGATGTGCACGATTTACTGTCCATAGATTTACTGTCCATTGATGGAAAAAAGTTTATTCTAAGTAGTGTTTTTCTTGGATGAGGATTTGCTATCCATTGACTAATTCGAAGAAGATAAATGAATAAATGAGTAGTCATTTCGTCAATTAATGTTTTTTCGAAATAAAAATAGCATAAATGTTCCCAACGAAAAAAACATTCATAAAGATGAGAATGATTGACTAAATTTTCAATTGAAAATGAACAATGATCATCAAATTGGAGGAAAAAATAGTCATTTATATGAATAAAATTTGCAAAAATGTATATAAATCGAGAGATTAAGAATTTTCTTATTGTACTTTTGTAAAAATGTCTGCTACGTTTGTTGAATCTACACGTAGTAAACGACAGTTATGTTACCTCGGTTATCGATATTCTTTAAAACGAAAGAATAAAAATGGTTCTGAGTACTGGATGTGTTAAATGTCAAGCAACAGCTACAAGTTATTCATATTTATCAGTAACTGTATGTGATGAACATACATATTTACCTGACGAAACCGATAAAGAAATATTAGAAATACGACAGAATCTTAAACGCAAAACTATTGACGAATCTATTCTAATTGATTGTATAGTCGAAGAAGCATTTCATGCAATTAATAATCAATTCCAATCCAATGATTTGCTTGTAAATATGCCATCAATTCATACAATTAAAAATACTGTACAAAAACAACGTCGCAAGACTCGTCCACCACTTCCTAGATAGATCGAACAACTGCCGTTTTTATTACCAGGTGTTTATTGCAACACTACACAAGGTGAATGCTTTTTATTATATAATGGACCGCTTAGTGGTGTTCGTTCACTTGTTTTTCTGCTTATAATGATATGATTTATTTATCCCAACAGAAAAATTAATATAGTGATGGTACCTTTTATACCTGTCTATTTTTTATCAAATATATTTCATTCATGCTTACTACCCATGTAACCGTCAAATGCATTTTTGACGCGTTTAAACGCAACTCGAATTGAAACAGCCTCCAAACGCACTGAAATGCATTTACCATGAGGTTGTTTGAATGCGTTGAAAAGTCTTGCATGCGTTCAGACCCGTTTCGAGACTAAAACGCATCACAACTGGTTCACATTAGTTTTTAAACGCGTTTCAACGCGAACAGTTTTGTTTTTGCATCGGAATGCGTTCATAACTGGGAATAATATTAACTTAGACGCTTTTGAATGCGATTGCTTTTATTTTTGCATCCGAACGTGCTTACTCTATATGCGCTAATGCTTTTGAGTTCCAGTCATGCATGTAAATGTAGTTTCTTTTTCCGTTTTGCATACACATGATGCATTTGAACGCAATTTCTAGCTGCAAGTACATATAGTGCTATGAATAATGCAGATTACTTCGTCACAGTACACGTGACTAGATCTCGAACAGTAAACTGAACTACGTGTTTTTTTATTCAAAAAAGCATAAAAATTATATAGCTAATTATATAGACGACGTATTCAAGTCTTACTGCGTTTTGAATTCTTAAAGAGGACTCTTCTTAATAATCTGCAATTTAAAATATCAGTGGCTAGCATTACATGAAACAGAATATAAACACAAATAGTTGGATACAAGAAATCTCATTATATTTGTGTTCATCATATAAAGTCATGAAGACTTAGTTAATCTGTAAAATAGAAATAAATGAGTACACGTATCAAATTCTGAAATGTACAGAACATTTATTCGAAAACTGTATTACAACAATATTATTTTATTACATGTCACTACCACCGCTTTTTTTTCACGAAATCAATTTCGATCTTGTATAAAACATACGTTAAACATAGGAATTTAAATTTCAAAATAAATAAAATGTAAGTGTTAAACAAAAATGTTCACTTTAACTCAAACATGAAGTTCAAGGTTAGTTTCCATGTAAACCTCTTAGAGATACAAACAGATAAGAAGTAGAAGAAACGAAAGAATCTAGATATAACTCAGACACAATGGTAGAGTTGCTTTCCAACACAACTTGAAACAGAACTGCGTCTGAATGTGGCTAAAAACAACTTAAAATAGCGTCTAAAGATGGTCAGAACACAAAACGCGCATTCACACACTATTGCCGTCGTACGTTAAGATGCGTCCATGTGCAACAAATATTTTATCTGGGTTGGTTATGAACGCATTTGCAATACATTTAATGTTTATGTATTAAAATCTAACTCTTCTTTTTCTGACTCTTTATATACGAATTCTTACACTAAAGAGTCATATATGACAGAAGAAACAAAATGCATATAAGTGTCTACAAAAAACTCAACTCTTTAAATTTATTTTCTTCAAGTTTCACTAATTTTTTCTGAAAAGTAAATTCTATAAAATTTATCTTCACCTCACTATGATTAAAAATTTCATTCGAAGTAAAAAACAAAAAGCAAACATAATTACTTAATTTGAATTTAAAATTTAAATTAATTTTTTTTACTTTAAAAAGACAAAAAAGTTAAGATGCTGCATCCATTGAGCATTTATTGAATAAGCAATTAGTTATAGAAAAAGCCCTTTTTCTCGTATTCTGTGATCTAAAAACTATAATTATTATTTTTTTTATAAAGTTAATCATATGTAATCGATGTCACTTATGCAATTTTAAGTGACACTGATAAATTAAAAAATTGAAAATATTTCCAAGTTTATATAATTTAATGAAGTAATTGCTATAAATTGATTTTTTTCTTTCTAAAAAGTCCCATGATAATAACAGATAAGACTGTAGGAGTATTTATAGCTTCGTGATAAGTTCAAGGTCATTTATTCTGTAGGTATCGTGGTCGAATCTCGTTTGTTTGCACTCTATTCAATAACTTAATAATGTATTAAATTGAAATAAAAATATCACGTGGCGATGAAAATGGGTCGATACCATGATATAGAACACAATTTTTTAAAAGTTAACAAATTTTGGGTATCCTCAAACGTGATTAGACGCATCTAACACTAAACAGTGTCAGAATGCGTTTCTCTGTCAGAACACGTTACGACACCCAAAAATGTTGCATTTTGGACGCATTCAGACGCGTGACGTTACATTGCTGACAAACGTTCGGGGATGCGTCAAAAATTAAAAAATGGATACATGAGACATTTCCATATTTGTACTCTCGAGAGAAAAAACTCTTATGAACTATCTATATACATATTGGTTAAGACTGAAAAAACGCTTGAATACAGCTCATGAAGCAATTGAATTTCAACAGGCTTGTGATGAATATGTAATTGCAACATCTCTGAATCGTATTCATTATAAGTCTATAGATTTCAGAAAACATAGTATATTTCCCAATCGGTTGGCAGCAAGGACACATCATGTGAATTTAGATCTCTTCACATTTTCCAATATACATAAAAGACAATATCAAATTTTTAAAAGATCATCATCTGTTATTGAAAGATTTGTATTTAAGTATCTGTACCCTCCATAATTTAATATTTCAAATCTGAAAGTACAGAAAGTCAAATTTGACTAAATTCTATCTGTTTAACTCGGTATGCATACTTGAAATTATATTTTTTTAATGACTTATTGGTTTTTCTTCTTTCTCTCTGTTCTTTTTCTATCTCAGCTACACACACCTATCTCTGTTCTCTCTCCACTCTTATCTATCCAGTGCATCCTGAGAAAAAAATGACTGCTAAATAAAAGTGAACTAAAAATAGCTAACTAATTTATTTATCTCCTTTGTAATCACTTTTTATATAGTATCATAATCTGTTAATCCTACGGGGAACAATAAACGTAAATATTAAAAAAATATAGGATTATAGAAGAAGCCATAGAACTGTTCGCTTTATTAAAATTCAATATACTTTGTTCTCATTTCTCTTCTTTCTTTCTGTAATTAGACCCAAGAGACAAGTCATCGGCATTTCCATCATTACTTTTAAAACTAATAAAATTATACTATTTATACTTTTAAGCGAAGTTATTTATCACGTCATTGAAATGCATTGAAGGTTAAAGTAACTCCAGCGAATTATATGATAAAACATTTACTTCTGAATATATTTGTGTCTATTTCCATCCACTGTCGTTTTTAAAATAAATCAAAATAGAACTATTACGCACATTGTATGATGTGCACAATAATCGGAAGAGAGCTTGAAACCATGATTGATAGTGAATGATTATTTTCTAGAAGATCTTTTGGTAATTACACTTGCAGTTAGCACAAGGGGGAAACGACTGACTCAAGTCCCTTTAAAGTCATTTTAAGTTAGTTAAGTCAAGAAAGTCACAAAAATCATCTGTAACGGAGCATTAATAAAGAATAAAAAGCTGTGATTTTTTTTCAACCACGACGATACATTCTCTAAAACATTTTCTTCACATTTTTTTTTCAATGATATGCACATAAAATAGGTAAAAGAAAAAGATATATATATGTTGTAGGTAAAATTGGCATATCATTTTGAGAACTTCAGACCTAACAAAGAAGACCAATAATACAAACACGAGTGAAGTTAAGGATGATGGTGAGAGTGAAGGATGATGGTGAGAGTGAAGGAGAAGATCTGAGAGAGCGGAAGTAATGACAGTGGGTATAAAGGATTCTCAGTGAAGGTTAGTTTTTCAGTAAGATTATGGTGTTATACAATTATTCAGTCTGATTTTATCCTCAACTTCATCACACTTATCGAGATCTCTTATGTTCGCTTAGACCTCGGTCCTCGGCATTACCATCATTCATCATGACGAGAAATATGCGATATCAAAAACTAAAGTGTTGTCAAGACCAAAACATAAAAACTTGCCGAAACCAGACTGAGACTAAGAACAGGAAACCAAAGTTTTTTATTGAATTTTCCTTGATTTGTAGCAAATTATGTGGTAAATCATATCATTTCTTAACAAAATTGG